CTCGGCGATGGCGGCGACGGCCGACGGACGACGGACGACGGACGACGGACGACGACAAATGAGACGACGACGACGACGACGACGACGACGACGACGAGGACGAGGGCGACGCACGACGCACGACGCACGAGGACATTCTAGTACGATGCGCCTCTGTTAGAGGCGCACGCCCGATGATAGTGCAAACATCTTGCAGTGCTCGAGGTATGTGGCCAGGAAGCCCCCGCCACCGAGCGAGGGCCTTGGAGGCCCACGCGAACGATGCTCGAACGAGGCTGGCCAGCGAAAGTCGCCCAGGATGGGCCGAAGGGGCAGGGATGCACGGGTACCCTTGTGGAAGGTTGCCCATCCCTACCATGCGGGTATACCGTACTCTTCGATTTCTCAGCGCGCGCGTCGCCCCCAGGGTGCAGATGTGCACGCCGCGCCATGATGTAATGGGTGATGTCGGACGGAGCACGAACGACGGGCGACGAACGACAAACAGCGGACGACGACCGACGGACGACGAACGGCGGACTGAAGACGACGGACGGCGGACGACGACCGACGGGCGACAGATAGTAGGTGGCGGACGACAAGAACAACGACGACGACGACGACGACAACGAAGACGACGACGACAACGAAGACGACGACGACAACGAAGACGACGACGACGACAACAACAACAATCATTTTAAGACTGTTCGCCCTTATCTGCTCGAGTGCCATTTAACACGTATATCCAAAAACCTCGATACCCACCCTCTCCGTCTTCGACCGTACCCCCTTGGTGGTACATCCTTCTTACCTGGAACGTGTTTTTCGTGCAGCCCCTAAGACAGGGGAAGAGAGGACGGATGGAAGGAAGGGACAAGGGAGAGGGAGGAGGAGGGAGCACGGGAGAGAGAGAGAGAGAGTAGCAGGAGGGGGGCTAGGAGCAGAAAACACGTAGCCAAACCAGACGGGCAGATCGGGCGGGTAGACCCTAACAGGCGGGTCGGAAGGCGGGGCGGGCCCAGGCAGCCAGGTCGAGCAGGCGGGTTGCTGAAGCATGCGTCCTGCATGGATCGGGAGGAAGTCTCGAGCGACAGCGCGATTCCAAATAAATCGTAAGGAAATCCACAGCGAGAGCGTGATTCCCGAGCGTCGAGGGCGCGGCGCCTGAATAATCACGAGGAAGTCCCGCGCGAAAGCGCGATTCCAGCATAACTTGCGAGGAATCCCGCGCGATTCCTACAACTTGTGCGAAATCCCGCGCGAGAGCGCGATTCTTCAATACATCATGAGGAAGCATCAAGCGGGAGCCGCTGTTGTTGTAAACCGGGGGCCCGAAAACACAATTTTGTGACATCCCGTTGCCCCTTATACAAAACAGGGTGCGAGCCCCAGGAGAAGCACTTCACTTGAAAAAACAATGGTTACCGGGCAGGTCGGAAGCAATACCAAATATTCTAATGGATGAAAATTCCACACAACAGCCACAACAACCACAACAACAACAACAACAATCATCATCATCCTCATCATCATGTCAAGACTGTTCGCTCCTATCAGCCCAAGTGCCATCCAACACGTATACCCCAAACCCTCGGTACCCGCACTCGTCGTCTTCGAGCGTACCCCCGTGGGTGGTATATCTTCCTTAGATGCCACGTGCATGTATTGCAGCCCCTAAAACAAGGGAAAAGAGGACGGATGCAAGGGGGAGGGAGAAGGATGGAGCACGAGAGAAATTAGCAGGTTGGGGGCAAGGAACAAAAAATAAGTGGTAGAACCAAACGGGCAGATCGGGTGTTTGGAGTCCCGAAACGGTGCGGTGACAGTCCGTGCGGTGACCTCGAAACCCCCAGGACCTCACCGCACGGTCCGTCACCACACGGTTTTGCGACCCCGGAGGCCCCAGTCGCCCGAGGTGTCCTCGGAGAAGCCCTCGAGTCGCAAAACCGTGCGGTGACCCCGAATCCCCACCGATTCACCACACGGTGCGGTCACCACCCCGCTTGGGGGCCCCCGAGGGTGGGCAGACCCGTAGCGGACGGGCCGGGGAGGCGTGCCCAGGCGATTAGGTCGAGCAGGCGGGTTGGTGATGCGCGGGTCCTGCATGAATCGCGACGAAGTCTCGAGCGATAGCGTGATTTCCAAGTAAATTGTGAGAAAAGCAACAACGAAAGCGTGATTCCTGATCGCCGGGAGCGCATCGTCTGAATAAATCGCAAGGAAACCCGACGCGAGAGCGCGATTCTTACATACTACGCGAAAGCGCTACTCTTCAATAGCTAATGAGGAAGTATCAAGCGGGAGCCGCTGTTTCTGTAAAACGGGAGCCAACAACCCAAATTCTAAGATTCAAAACTTTCCCTTGCACAAAACAGGGTGCGAGCCCCGGGAAGGGCACTTTAGTTAAAAGACACCATGTGGCCCGGACGGGGGGATCAACCATCTTGTTTAGGAATGAGGATTCAACAACAGCAACAAAAATAAGTTTAAGACTGTTCGCCCTTATCTGCTCGAGCGTCCAATAACGCGTATGTCCCAAACCCTCGGTACCCGCCCTCTTCGTCTTCGATCGACCATCTTTTGGGGGGTATACCTTTCTTCCCTGCAGACCGGGCCCTGGCAAGCGGCGGGGCGACCGCGGACCGTCGGCCTGGCCAGCGGCAGCGCTGATCGGCGGGGCGGCCGCGGACCGTCGACCCGACCCCAAGAGGGACGGACAGGGGACCGACCACGACGACGACGACGACGACGACGACGACGACGACGACGGCGACGACGACGACGACGACGGCGACGACAACGGCGACGACGAGCGAAAGCGAAAGCGAGAGAGAACGGCAGCAGGGCCACGAAGTAGGCCACGAAGGGCGACAGCGGGGACACGATGGAAATGCGATTGGGGCCACGAAGAGCGCGAACGAGCGGGGGCCACGAAGGGCAGACAATGCGGGGCCACAGAAGGCAACGATGGGGCCACTGACAGTAGCAACTGGGCCACGTAGAACAGCGAGGGGGCCACAAACGGCGACAGCGGGGCCACGAAGGGCATGCACATGGGGCCACAACGGGCGCGACTCCTGGGTGCCTGGGTGTCGGGAGCGCGGCGCTTGAGCAAATTGCCAGAAATTCCAACGCAACGGCGCTATTCTTTAGTAAATTGCAAGCACGTCTCCAACGAGAGCGCGACTCCAGAGCACCGGGAGAGCGATTCCTGCATAAATTGCAAGGAAGTCCCACGCGAGAGCGCGATTCATGAATTAAATGCGAGGAAGTCTCAAGCGGGAGCGGGGGTCCTGGCTAAATTGTGAGGAAATCTCAAGCGGGAGCCGTTGTTGTTGTAACCTGGGGGCCAGGGGCACAGTTTGAGAATCAAGACTTCCCCTGTCGGAAAACAGGGTGCGAGCATCGAGGGGCACACTTTGATTGAGAACAAACAATATGCACCAATGGGGGGGATCAACAATAATTATTCTTCAGCAGTGAGAGTTCAACAACAACAACAACAACAACAACAACATTCATGTTAAGACTGTTCGCTCTCACTGGCACGCGTGTCTTGCATTCCGTAAAACCAACCCTCGATACCCGCCCACTTCGTCTTCGATTGCACCCCCTTTCGGGAGGAATCTCTTCCCTGTCGGCCGCTAACTGAAGAGCGAAGAAGTCTCGAGCGATAGCGCCGTTCCTGAGTTCGGGGGCCTTTCTGGCCAGGAGCTCTCGGAATGCCTATGGAGTGATATCGAGCGGGAGCCCTTGTCGCCGTGTCCGGGCCTCCACCAACTTGCGCGAACTACGAGAAAGTCTCGAGCGAGAGCGCCGTTCCTGACTTCGGGGGCCTTTTTGGCCACGGGCTCTCGGGGTAAATCGTGAGGAAGTATCGAGCAGAAGCCCTTGCCTTCGTGGCTGGGCCCCCGCCAACTGAATTATTGAATTGCGAGGACGTCTCGAGCGAGAGCGCCGTTCCTGAGTTCGGGGGCCTCTCTGGCCAGGGTGTCTCGGGGTAAATTGTGAGGGAGTATCGAACGGGAGCCGTTGTTGTCGTAGCTGGGCCTCCAAGGGCCCACATTTAGGCTCAAGCCAACGCTCGAGCGGGAGCCTCGTTTTCAGCGATACTGTAGCAGGCGTCGAGTCGAGAGCGCACGGAAACGTTTCCCGAGATCAACAATAACTATTCTTGAGAAATGAATTTTCAACAACAACAACAACAACAACAACAATTACTAGCACGTGGGGACACACCGTTCTCACCAGTGCCAGGGTTTTCATAGGAGGCGGGCAATACCCCCACTTTGTGGGGGGGCCGGTTCAAGCTCTACCAAATTTCCAAACGACTCTTCGCCACCACCCACACCCAGCTTCCCGCCCTATGACGTTCGGACACTTCACTTCGTGGCATGCGGACGACCGTGGCTACTATTCAGGGCCCCGCGGCCGACGACGACGGCGTGCGCGCGCGAAGAAAAAACGAATGTGTCCCGCATGGTATTATTTGACAGGGATGATGGCCCTGGCAGGTGCGCAACCGTTGTCGCAGAAGTTCGAAAAAGTTGCTCGCAAAAGCCCGTTTGACAGAAATGTTTAAAAAGTGTTGGGTTTCCTACGAATCCGCAAGAGCGCGCGGGATGAGATTTTGACAATTTTTTGTTGAAAAACCATTGGTTTTTTGATGTTTTTATGTTAAAATCGCTGCGAACACTAAGGTTTTGGAAGGATTTCGTCTTGCGCGCGCGAATGTCCACTTTACCTTATTTTTTGCAAGGGATTCTTGAAATTTGATTATATTAGAACAAGAAATGTCATTTTCTATTGTTTTTTGCAAGGGAAAGCGGATTACAACAAAACAACCGGATCCTGTACACACCCTCTTTTCTGAGGCTTCCTCACGAAAATGATGAAAATGTAGCTGCGGCCTAGGCGGCGCAGGGGGGGCGCGCACCAGGGGGCCCAACAATAATTATTCTTTAGAATAAATAATGTTCAACAACAACAACAACAACAACAACAACAAGGCAACACCC